CTTCTCTATTCCCCCTTCTTTCGCTTTAACAATATACAATTAACGTCTATATAATTATGTACAATTTGTTTTTCTGCCTCACTGCCCCTTTCGTGTCTCCAGCCCTCGAATAATGGTGCTTGATCCTTAGTTTAAACGATACGCCCTCTCCACTGCATAGGGTTCCTTATGCGGACAAAACGTACGGACAAATTAAGCTCTACATCGCGACTTCGTCGTAACAATTTCTATAATTTTATACAATCTCTGGATATATATATATGTATATATATTTATATATGCGTTTATATATTCTGTATCTGTTCGAAGGAAATTTCACGTTACCACGGCGATCTTGGCGATCAGTGGGGTGATTTACGATCGCACGCGAGAGAGATTACACCGTGGTAATGCGAATCGCGTTCGAAGGAATGGAAGGCATTTTGTTAACGTTTCCCTCTTTTCCTCTTTCCTTCTTTTCTCTCTCACTCTCTTTCTCTCTTCTCTTCTCCAGTAAGCTTCGTGCGCTTCCACGGACTACTTATCGCAAATTTACTGAATAATCGAGACGCGATAACGAGGTTTTTTTTTTCTTTCCTTTCTTTTTTTCTTTCTCTGAGTGATTGGAGGGAGATTGAAGGCATCGCATTAGAAATCGCACGAGTAAACGTTTTCGCCAAGGATTTCTACGTTATTCCATTTAAGCTTTCTCTCCATTCTTATCTCTCACACATTCTTCTCTCTCTCTCTCATACTTTCTCTCTCTTTATCACTATTTGTTTTCTACGTCGGGGAGATTTCCTGTGTGTATGTGTGTGTGTGTGTGTGTGTTTGTGTCAAGCTGTATCAAGCGGAACTCGTAAAAAAACTCGTCTGTATAATTGATCAACGTTCGTAAACTATAAACATCCGGGGGAAAACGATTTACACGATTATATAACGTTAAAGGGGGTTGAATACGCGATTGATAAACGATGGATAGGTCGTGTTCAACGATATTCTTGCGTGTAACGCGATATCTCTCCCTTCTGACGCGTCGTCTCTTTATCGTCGATACATCGCGCTTAGAAGCGTAGGCTTTTTTAAAAACGTTTATAAATGTCTCTCCATCGATGTTCGATTTCGAGCATATATATGTATGTGTATGTGTGAAGGCAAACGCCCGCAATTTCTACGATCGATATCCGTGCATTAAATTTCGTAAACGACGCGTGTGTTACGCGTGTAATTTCGGCCGTTGGCAACACGAGGCACCGCAAAACGAGAAACGATCATTTTAGGCCCGCTTCGACAGCATGATGGTCCGACCACAGTTCTCCAGGACAATATTCAACAAGGAAAGAAACAATCGTTCATCGATCGTACGAGGCAGATAGAACGGAACGCGACGAGTCAGAAATTATAATTATCCTCGTGCACTAAGACCTCTTCAATTGTCCCAGATCGGAGCCCTTGGGCGAGTACAGGCCCAATTTGAGCGTGAGCTCTTTGGGCTTTCTAGGAGCGTTTCTAACGGGGAACGGGCTGAACTGGGTCTTGGGACTGGTCACCGCGTTGCTGTAATTGTTCTCATCCTTGCTCGAGTGCCCTATGTTCCCCAGGCTCAGAGACGATTTCTTGTAACCGGTTGGACCCCGGTCGGGCAGTTCCGGATATTTTCCAATGCTCATCTTGCCGGGGAATTCCGGGTGGGAGACGGGCCGTTTCGACTCGTCGGATAAACTCGTCGGGGAAAGTTTCGAGGCGTAGTGATTGACGGTCGAGGAGAAATGTTTGTCGGGGAATTGACGATTCGGAGACAGGCTGTGATAATCCCTGCTGGTGTGCAGCCTCTTCGGTAAATACGATTCCGACGAGTCCGCCCCCGTGTCCAGAGTGGGCAACGCGCCGCCCAAGTGTCTGTCGTAGTCTTGCGTGCTCTTGGCGTGGCAATATTCCTTGGGAGACAACGGGTCGTACTTGCGAATCCGAAGAACGTCGGAGGATTCGCTCGCGTACTCGTGCAGGAACGAGGAACCGGTGGTCGCGTCCAAGCATCCTCTTTCCTCTTTCGAAACTTGGTACTTGGTGGGCGTGAACGGTTCGGTGTTTCCATTGCTGAAGTAAGGAGATTTGTTCGGAGTGGGGATGGGTCTGACCTCGGGTTGAAGGGACGCGTAATCGGAGCCGACTTCTCTGCTCGGCTCGTCGTCGTATCTGACGCGAAATTCCAACGACTCTTTGCTCATGATCGGACTCTTGAGGCGGAGGTCGTACGCGTTGATCGATATCTCCGGTTTATGGTTGATGTACTCGAATGCCGCGGTTTCGGCGACGCCCGGCTTCTCGTACGAAGCCTTGGTCGCGAACGGGTTGGAGACGGAGTGTTTGCTGGGCGACAAGTTGGGCTTATAGTCGAACGTGTTGTAAGGGTCGTAAGAGGTGTCGAGGGGTGAGGTGTCGTATTGAACCGGTTTAGAGGCGTACCTCAACGATGGCACGTCCGCGAAAGGAGATTTGTTCGGGACGTACGGTATCGAAGACAATTCCTTTTGGGGAGGAAGGTCCAGACTCGGATCCGGCAACACTTGCGCGGAGGAGATTTTATCCAGCTTCTCCAATTCTCTGTAAATGTCTATGTCGCTCTTCGGCGACGAGTCGTCCACCTGGTATTTCGATACCGTGTACGGTAATACGTTTTCCGTGTATTTAGAATACTTGTCGACGACCGATGGTATCGACGGTTCCTGGGTCGAGGGGAGGTCGCTTCGCGCGTCGATCGAATCGTTGGACGATTTATAGGAGAACACGTTGGTTGAGATGCTGGAAAGATCCAGTCCCTCGATCTCGCTCACGTTTTGACTGGACGTCCCTTTGTCCATGGTTGTCATGGTGCTCGCCGGTGAACGATCGTCGTAGTTGGCCAACAATTTCGACAACTCCTCGTTTATCTTGCGATCGATCAAAGCCTCCCTGGTGTCCAGGTATTCGTGGGATATCGCTTCGTCCACGTCGAAATGATCCATCTGTTCCGTTTCGTCGATCAGCGAAAGTTTGGACAATTCCTCGTTGATCTTGGCGTCGAACTCGGACACGCTCGTGGCGGTCATGTTGTCCAAGTCCTTGAAATTGATCCGCGCCAATTCCTCGTTGATCTCGTGCTCGTTCAATCCCATCTTCTCCAATATCGGGCTGAAGATCTTCGAGATTTCCTCGTTTATAGGACTGATGGTGATCTCTTTGGATATCTCTTCGAGATCGGGCAAACGTTTCTTCGCTTGGCAAGCGAGGATCTTTTGGAGTATAGCCGAGTTCTCTTGAATGATCTTCAACGCCCTGTCGCTGTTCCTTCGCCCGTTCTCGCTCTTCTTCCGGGGTTTCACCTTGGTCCACACGCCCAGCTTGGATTCCCTGCCGTCGTCGGCGTCGTTGCTCTTGCCGCAACTTACGCTTTTCAATATGCTGTCGCTGTTCTCGTCGATGTTGATCCTCGGACGTACCACGTACGACTTTCTACCCTCGCCCGTTACGTTGATGTCGGGTATCTCCAGACGATGCTTGGAGAAATTCCTCGCAGAATTACTGAACGTATCCTGTCTTCTCGCTTCCAAACTCTTTATATCCTCCCAGATGTAACTGCTCTTCCTCGACAGCATACCGCTCTCCGACATCCCGTCGTTCGCCTTCGCCTCGAGATGCTTGATATCCTCCAAAATGTCGCTCGACCTCTTCTTCGCGATCGTGGTCGTGAACTCGTCCGCGGACGCCGACGATTTCATGTCGGCGTATCTCCTGCTGTCCAAACTGCTCGAACTTCTTTCCAATAATTTCGACCGATCCCTGTAACGATAGTTCAAGTAACGCTTGTCCAACTTCTCCTGGGGCAAACAGGGCACCACGTCCTTCTCCGACAGAGGATCGTCCCCTCCATCGTCGTACGTGTCCTTTTCCTTTCTGTAATAATCGGTGCTCGTTTGATGATAATACTTGACGTCGCCAACGCTTTCTTTCCTTCTGTCCGTCAAGCCGACAGCCGAGTCCTCGTGCATCCTCGACACGCCCAACTCCGATCTGACGTAGCTTTCCCCCTTTCGTGGCGCCGCCGTGTCATCCGCCGTCTCCTTGTCGAGAATTTCGGACGACAATTTCAACGACGAGTCGAACTTGGCCTGATACGAGCCCAGGAACTTGCTCGTCGACTCCCTCGAACTGTCCCTCGATTTCTGCTCGGGCGAGGTTTCGCTGCTGTCCAAGCTGGACCTTCGCCTGGACACGCTGTAGGGCGAGGTGGGCGTCTTCTGATTCGGATTCGAGATCGGGTAGAAGGGCGAGGTGGCGCAACTGAGATCCATGGGCGAGCCCGACACGTCGTCTTGGCCCCGCCTAGCGAAATTCGAGGTATACTTTATCGAGTTGGCACTTATTGGCGATTGGAGGTCCGAACTGAACGACCTCTCGGAAGACTTTAGTTTGCTCGGGCTGCACGACTCGCTGGAACTGCTCACGATCAGTTTCGCTGGGCTCGCCTCAATGGACTTGGTCTTCAACGAGTCCATGCTGATAGGCGTCGTCGAGCTGGACATCTCGTACATCTTCCTCGCCTCCGTCTTGCACCCGCTGTCCTTCGTCCCGTCCGAGTCTGCGGAGCGAAGCACCAACGTTTTCGAATCCGAACTGACCGACGAGCACACCGATTTGTCCATGGAAAAATCTCGAGAATCCGATCTGACCGGGGTTCTTGGACTCACGGTCAAGCTCGACGGTTTCGAGTCAGGCCCCATCGTTTCGCCCGAGCTGAAGGATTTGTTGCTCTCGGGTGTCTTGGGACTCTTCGCCAGATCCACGGCGTACGGTTTTGTCTGGCTGGATTGCACCTGGATGTCGTACGATGCCATCTTCTCTAACGACGTTTCCAACGAAATTGAGCCAGCTGTGTGCGTTCTCTCAGCGATGTAAGGTGTCTCCAATTTCGTCTTGGCCGGTTGGTCGGGAATAATCGATCCGACGATGTTGCGAATCTCGTGTTTGATCGGTGTCATTCTGTTCAACTTTTGATCGACCGTGATCGGAGAGATGGGGAGGTGACCGACGTAAGTCTTGCCGTAGAGACCTGTTTTCTCCGTTTTATTCTCCGAAGTGTCATTGATGATTAAACTTTTATACGGCTCCAATTCCAAAGGCATTCTGCTCGTAGAGAAATCGTAGGATGTTTTGAAGCGATCCGATTTAATTTCATTCTCGATCGTTGGCAAATCGAGGGTCGATGGTTTGTCTGGAATTCTATCGTACTTCGTATCCAACGGCGTCGAATAATCCGAATACGCGCTCGAACAATCCTGTTCGATTACCGTATTCGATTGTCCGATTTTGTCCTCGATTCGATCTTTCTCGATTGTCGTATTTTCGTAATTTCGATCGACAATCTCGTCCATTGTCCGTTTAGATGTATGTACGTCATCCTGTTTCGAAGTGATCGTGGTGTCACCGAAATTCGAATAATCGTAGTCGTTCAAAACCGACGATTTTTTTGCTGTATCGGAAGTGTAGATATCTGTAGACAGGTCGGGCGTCGATTTCTCCGTGCTCAATTCTTTCGATTGCTCGCCTTCAGGCGATTCTTTGCCCTGAGCGTTACTAAACTTTTGAGGAACCATGGAATTATTGTCATCCTCTGCCGATAATCGTCTTATTTGATCGGTAATCTTGGCGATCGACATGTCGGCCAAGCTCTCCTCGGAAATTTTCGAATCTTTCGTCGAATCGTCGGCGTTGATTGGCTCGTCTCCTCTCTCCTCGAGGAAAGGATCGAGGCTCTTCTCGGGTATCGGTGAACCATCCATTCGAGAGCTCTTCTCCTCGTCCGTTCCAGCGGCGTAGGATTCGGATGCCGAGGTCAGATCCTCGCTGTCAACGTCGCTCAGACGATCTGGCTCGTCGCACAATTCCGTCGAGGTACTATCGCTGTCGCTGTCAACGTTGCTGTGCTTTGGAGATAGGTCAGCTTCCGTGGATTGTGGCGTGACAACTTTGCTTTCGACCGGTTCTAGAACGAATAGAGGAGAAATGTATGTATGTGATAAGTGATCGCAGGATTACAGATGGCCAAAAATTACGAATTATCGATTACGTAAAATTCGAGCGAATATGAAACGTAATTGAGCACAAATGGAACGAAACGAAGATCGTTTATATATTATTTTGTTAAAATTATTAAAATATTGTTAGAAGAGTGTACGAGTACTGTCCTCACTACCGTAGATAAAACAGATTTGTGGATCTTGTGCGATCGTAATCATTGGTAGGCAATGTGCACCAACAGAAAGTACGTTCTTGAACAAAATGAAGTTTCCTACATTACCATGGTTTGGAGGTTCGTTATCATCGATCGATAAGTGAAATATCATAAATTTAAAGAGAAGCAAATTTAAAATTTTCGAACGTTGTTTAGGAAAATTTAAAATTAATAGGAAAGACAAATACAAGCTTGTTGGAAACGTTTAACGATAAGGATACACTTCCGTTATCTTTACCTGTTGCGTTGGAAGGTTTCTGCTTGGGTTTTTTCGTGTCTTTCCAATGAAGCGTGACACCCTGTTTATCCCTTCGGTTTTGATTTAAACTCGTAGGTCTCGTCTTCGTCGACGCAGCGCCAGAAGATAAAGTCAAGGGACGATTCTTCCCACTCACGAGCGCACTTTTGCCCACTAAAAGATGATTCATGGCCTGAGAAGTAGGAGGTGGTACCATGGTCTGCCTTGCACATGCAGCTGCGCCAGGAAAGAAAAAAAAAAAAGTGTGCATTCTTGTAGCCGTTCAATTTGCAACAAACGTACTTCCATCGGTCATATTTCTACACGAACTGTGTAGAATGTACGCGGAACATATACGTCAAGCACGCATCTCAAAGCGATGGATGATTTATCGTGCCTTAAACCTTAGGAAAATACATCTAATTTTACGATTAGGATCGGCGATTACCCGAAAGTATGATATGGGCCTGCCGTTGCCGTTCCCGCAGCTTGGCGTATTGCTGTTTCAACGTGCTAATATCCAAAGCGAGTCGTTCTCGATCGCTGCTGGGTGCCATGGCCTGCAGCGCTCCAAGCGTTTGTGGTATACGATCTGCGAAAGTGTTTTTTTTTCTTTTTTTTCTCTCTCTCTTTCTCTTTCTCTCACGATGTGAAACAAGCCACGGGCTAATGCCGTAACGGTATACAATAATTACAATGTTAACGTGTTTCTTTCTCACCTTTCTTCAAACGTTGCGCCATGCTGAACATGGCAGCGGCCACGGCCAACCTTTCATCCTCCTCGGTATCGCTGTCGTCGTCGTCGCTAAGTTTCCTCGCCCAAGGTGTGATGTTATATCTGTGCTTCTCCCTCAATCCTGTCACACCGTGCAGAGCTCCCATATTGACGATGTTCTGCCAATAACAACACTCTGACAACGTCACGCCGAAAATAAAAATCGTTGCAATAATCGCAATTAAAAACGAGACAAGGGTACGGACAAACCTTTACGAGATTGTTAGTATCCGTGAACTCGAGCATCTCTCTCGTCAACACTCCCATTATGCTGTAAAACTCGTCCGCCGATGTGACCGTCATGATACGACTAAAATCAAACGATAGGACACGTGATGGCGCCACGTCGAACCCGGATAAACGAACCTATAAATTCTCGATCCTCTTCCTCGATCCACTTACTCGGAGAGTCCTTCCCATATGGCGAGCGCGGTTCTCAGCAATATCTCGTCTCCCTCGAGAAATATCAGATCCCAGACACGGAGGACGGCCTCTTGGGGCAGGCAATGGCAGAAGAGAGTGAGGAACCATTGCATCGTGAACACATTGGTCAAAGGTGGTTCGTAACTGCTGCCTAACGACAAACGTTTCCCTTTTTCTTTTCTTTTCTCTTTTTAATTTTTAATTCTTTTTTTCTTTTCTTTTTTTCACCGAAGAGACGAGCCTCCTCGTACAGTGGCTTCGTCCGAGCGAATCGAGCGAAGAGAGTTACGATTGCACAACCAGTTTGGTTACCTGTCGCCTTGTCCTTCGCGTCGTTCTGAAGCGCCTCCAGGTGTTTCGAGAGCTTGGGCAGCCTGGCCCGCAGCAGA